TTCATTCGCAAAGCTGTGTCCTCTGCCGACGAATGATGAAATTTAAGTGAACCAGCATGTGCGCGAGGGTTCTTAATCGCCATTTGTACTTTTCATTTTGTTTGTTGACTGTTGAAAGTACCTACTTTCAAAGCCGGGGGTATGTTAGTTTTGTCATGACTCAATAAATATAATACAAATAATAATTCAAACCGGCAACGCTGTGCACCCTGTCAAAACCCATCCAGTTCAAATGTGATGGCACCCGATCAACAAAAAGGGAGTGAGAATAACGGTTTAGCCGGGCGAAAAAGAGACAGACATATTTGCTTTAACTTGTTCTTGTTACTGTCTTGTATTCACTTGTAATTTATGACTTGCATTTGTATTCTGGTAGAATAAACACATAATAAAAAAAACGTCTCCTATTTTTCTTGTTAATCTATAGCAAAATTATACATAAAAAAGTATTTTAAAACCCAGCAAAATAGAAATACAGTCCACAATCGAACAAATCAACAGATTGGAAGATCTATTTTTATCTTTGTTTTTTAGATAAATGACAGGTTCAATTAAACATCAATCAGAACTTTGAATAAATATGTTAAGGATACCCCTAACCATCGATAAGGAAACTGTCTTTTGATCTAATTAACAAATTATCAATTAATTTAAGCAAACATTAATGCCCCAAAGTCTAGGATAAACGAATTTGAACAGACCGACAGTAATGCGAACAGGGCGCCATCTATCATAAAAAGTCCTATGTAAAGTAGGTGTCTGTAGCATCGATGCAAAACCAGTAAATAGTGATTTTCCGATATGGTAGATGGCGCTGGCTTGGCTCAATTTTGTTGACAACAAAATTTACACTGAGATTCCATTCTCGACAGTTTATATAGTATTTATCTCTGGTGCCAGGTCAATATATGTAGAGAATATATATAGTGCGAAAATAGAACAGCGTGCGTTTTTTTTGCACGCTGTGTGAAAAACTCAATTTTCAGCGGTACCCTAGCCTGCAAAAAACTCCATTTTCAGAAGCACTGTTAAAAAAAAACTTTCTCAACCTAATTACATACGAACTAAACTAAATACACTATAACCTGGCCTATTTACATTTCTCCATCGGACTCAGTATTGTTGGAAGGAGAACTTTGTTGAAGAATATTTTCGCAGGAATTTCCCTGGCAAGAACCGCACAAATTTGAGCAAAAAACGCTTGATTCTTTGCAACTACATTGCTTCGTGCATCCCGTTTTGCAGTTACAAAAAGTTATTTTTAAAATAAATTCTGGAGCTACATCTTGTTCCATTGGAATAGGATGTAGCTCTTCATCTACATCTTTCCATCCATTGGAATGACCAATGGATCAGGAGAGTAGCCCAACCGCTCTTGTATTTGAAAATAAATTCTGGAGATATGGAATTTTGCGGCATCTGTAGTGGGAGGAAGAGCAGCCAAATTAAAGTTTGTGTTAATATTTTGCCTGGCGGTGGTAGTAATCATAGACATATAATAAAAGAGGAGACAGAACATCTCATTCAAAAATCATTATTTGTTTACAATCATACATACCCTCAGAGTTATGCATAAGTAAGAAAAGGATGGGCTTAAAAAATGGCATCGCTGTAACCTGCCCCTCCATTTCCCCGACCGTCTTTATCAGAGGCGTGCGGTTTTCCTAGATCATGAAAATTAAGACCGCTTAATATACAATTAACCACACCACTGCTTGGGCTGAAAAAAACATAACCTCACGTACCGTCGAAATACCAATCCAGGGTTAGAATAGGCAATTTTTTTACAGATCACGCACTGGTGAACCATTGTAGTTGCTAATAAAATATAAAAGGCGGAAAAAACACTGAAAATTGATTGAAAATCGCAAATATTCCCAAACACAGCACAGCAACACTGGATAGTCAATTTTTGACATAAAATGAATGAATGTGTCAAATCCCGTGTCACTGGAGTAAACAGTGTTGCCACAGCTATTTCTCTAATACATTTTAAATTTACGTTATTCAGAAACTAAATAATTTTATAAGTAGAAATTACAGATTTTATTTGGAAAAACGCACATTCATATGTGTAGTTGAGATGATACAAATAAAGCATGCAATATAATCAACATTCCCTACGTTTTCAAACACAGGCGGTAAATCTAGGGCAATCCGCAGAAATTCGCCAACATTGATTTCTGGCGAAAACAATGTTTGATCGGCATAAAATGTAAACAATTCAGTCTCTCTTTTATTATATGTCTATGGTAGTATTGTATTTTTTGAATCTAAGTTCATCTAATGTTATTGTTAATGTGTCCTGTGAAGGGATACTAAAAAGCGCTCCCATATTTTATTATATCATCCTTGGCTGCTGCGGAAAGGGAAAATATCTAAAATTGTATCTGAAATTAGTAGAGGTACAAGTATCAATTTTCATCTAGTACTTGGTGGATTTTGATGAACTGCTTTTCGAGAAGCTGGAATCCTATATGGAGTGGAGGGAGCTGCCCTAAGCTGACTCAAGAGTTGTTTGACAGATAGAGAACAATATGTCGAAATATTTGACAAAAATAGTGGAAAAGTCAAATCACTAAAAAAAAAAATTCCCAAGATGTTCCGCTGGGTGGAATTTTGTCTCCACTTCACTATCTTGTCTTCAGCAATGATTTGGGGGCCTGCCTCCAGTACAAAGTGGAAGAAGAACATCATCTGGCTCAATTCGCCGATGACAATTCAATTACTGTCGGCTGTGAGGATATAGTTGAACTATCAAGACAAAGCACAAGGGCGTCAGAATCTCTTTGGTGCACACAAAACAAACTAATTCTAAATTCTATCTAACAAAACTAAAGTCTGTTTTTTTTTAAAGATAATTCTCCAAGTCAAAAATTTAGTAACTATGTTGGCCTTTTTTACATAAAAAAATTGAAAGCTGACAATTTTACATTGTATTGTCAACATAATGAATGTCATTTTGACTTTTATTTAAAAGAAAAAAAAAACAGACTTTGAGATAGTACACTTAAGGGTACACTATAAAAACCCCAGAAATAAAAACTATAAAATTGAAAGTGTCTACTCTAAAATTAACAATAAAAGCCTGCCTGTTGAGGAAAGTGTGAAAGTCTTGGGAGTTTGTTTTGATTGCCATCTTTCCTGGAAAATTCACATTGAAAATGAAGCCTCAAAACTTAAGAGTGGGCATTTTGCAGTCATGAATCTAAAGGGGATTGTTGGTCCAAACCTTCTTATGATGATTGTGATTTGTTCCCTGTCAATTCCGTCTGAAAGTTTCTTGCGTTTAGGCTTAGGGATAAAAAAAAAACAATTATGAATGTTCATGTATGAACCTAGTTTGCTGGAATGTTGGTGAGGACATCTTGAATGAACCTTCAAGTCTGAGGCTTGATAATGTCTTAATTGAAGACGAAACGTTGCCGAAAGACTAATTAATTGGTCTTCTTATGATGTTCTATCATGCGAAAATAAAAAGTAATTTGCAGTATGGAATTGTTCTCTGGGGCTCATCGGCATACACTGACTGAAAAGTGAAAGGTTACTAATCCTTCAAAAGAGAATTGTAAGACTAATTGCTGGCGCAGATTTCTTAGCTCACTGCAAACCTCTATCTTAAAAATAATGACAGTTACTCACTATTGCTTATGAGTATTTGTACATAAACACAAACAGTACTTTACAACAAATGCAAGTATCAATAGTGGTATGCAAACAAGGATCAAAACCTCCTGAGTGTGTCAAAGCACAAAACTACACTATTTGAAAAATAGAGAGTAGTTTTTAAAAATGAAGAATACGAGTATTTTATAGAAAAACCACTATACTTAATAAGAAAGTTTTTTGCCAGTTAGTTACGTCCAAGTTGTGACTCTGATAAAATAAATAAAAATTTAAACTTGTAACTAAAAATGTTCTATAATGTTTGTAACTTTTGTTTGTAATTTATGTATATTTGACATTATCCAATGCTTTTCGTTATAAGCCCAAAGGAAATAAATTAAATTGAAAAAAAGTTCAATTGCCTCAACATTTTTGAAATGTATTTTCACTTATAAAACCCATTATTTATGGATAGAAATCTGGGGTGAATAAATCCAGATCCTACATCTACTTCTTGCAACGGCTGTTCATTACTCTGATAAACCCCTTTATGATTCACCTAATGTAATGCATTTATCAACATTTGATACCATTTAATTCGGATTGCAACGATTATAAAAATCTGATCAAACCCTGCTGTAATGGCAGTAATTAATTCTGTATATTATGTTTCTGAGGTTTTTATATGGTTTTGAGTTAAGGGGATTGAATGCGCCGTTTAAAATATATTATTTGTAACGCACATCGAACTACACAACTACCCAACAAGTTAATACTAATAAAGACGCGAGGTTCATCGCGATCATTGCATTGGGCTACTGTTGAGCCGGTCAGCGCTGGATCGTTTATCCCGGCGATTTAAAATGTATAGAAAAGCAGGCGGAGGAAAGAGCCATGGGGTTTGCTGCGGGCATAACAGAGATAGACAAAATAACAAGAAGAATTAATCAAATTTCTACAAATAAACCTATATAATTTTTGGAATTCTGGTTTGCGCCATTGTATTGCTAACACACATAAGAATGGCGCTAATTTAAAAAAAAAACACGATAAATTGATTAACCTTCTTGTTTTTTTCTAGTTTAAATTACATTTTTGTAATTTTTCGAGAACTTGTTTCTATTATCGGATTTCTAAAAAGAAAGCGCTATTCGTCCCTATATTATAAATCGAATGCAAAAAAGAAAGTTGATATAACTTCAATTGTTAAAAAATTAGGTTGAAATTAAGAACGCAATGCATTCCTTGTTTCTTCATCTCATTCCCACTAAGGAGATTTGATTGGAGCGGAAGAATACAATGATTGACTGCGTTAGGTGCTTCGCGCAGGAAAAAAATATTTTGGCATTAAGGCACATCCAATCCCCTTAAAAATGGACAAATTTTGCTTTCAGGTTCAAGCAATATTCGCAAAACAAGTAGCGCAAGTACTAAGCGAAGACAGACAGCAGCAACAAGCAGCTCAACAAGCACAGCAGCAGCAGCAACAACAACATCCACAAATTGCTTCCTCACACGAACAACCCTCATCGCTGCACGACCCGGAACACTTTCATCCTCTCCAGCCACAGCAACCACAGTCATTGCCTGTTGTTCAGCAACCATATGACATAGTTAGTAGTAGTCTACAGTATGACGCTAAAGAATTTGTAAGCGTAAGCTCTACAAAACCAACAATTAAAGAATCGACACCTATTGTATCGGCCAATAGTGACGCAGCCGAGGTGATTTTATCAAAAAAAGACCGAGAAAGTCCTGTGAAAAGTAGTAGAAAACAACTGCCCAAACCTGTTGATATCCCTCAAATTAATAAAGAAACTGAATGTGATAAAATTTCTTCCACAGGTAAGACTCGATACCTCTGAAATGTTATTTACAATATCAAAGAAATTTTTATTTTAGTAGTTAAGGAAGAACCAGTTCCAGTGCCTCAACCCACATTAGTTAATCCTGCTGTCTCTCCGGACGTAACCAGCCCCGCGGAGACTGTCAAGGACAGTGACAAAAAAGGTGCCAAGAAGTCCTCTCCAGTGGAGCAACAGAGTCCAGAACCTGAGAGTCAATCCCCTACTACTGTTCCATCTGGTGACATGACTTCAAATAATGGTAAGAGTTGTTGTTTTTAATTAGTTGTTTGTATGAGTTGCCGGATGGTTCGTTTTGGTCAATTTCAAATTTTTTAACTTGAAGAGAAAAGTCTGAAGCTTTTGGAAGCTATCTACTTCTGCTACTGTCTTTTATTATTTTGATTAAACCTAATATATTTTTCGTTACGCATGCATCATAATCAAGGATTATCGCACGCTGCGTGCATAAAATGATGTTTATGATGCGCCTACCTTTCCAAAGGTTTGCTATAGAAACGTTTGATCTACCTTTATTACCTAGATATTCACCTGCCATTCAAATACCTATTTATCAAAATGAATCTATCAAGATATTTTACACATTCTGGCAACTCGGCTTTCTGTTTCATAACCCTGAAATTTAAAAAATATTTTGTCATCAAATGTCATTATTATACGAGGGTCAACCTGTCAAAGGATGATGCTACGCCAATAATATCTGAAACGCATATACATTCTGGTATTTAATTTTTAAATAATGATTTTATAAATAGCACCCCATCCCCAAGTGATTCAACAATAGTATGTGCTAGGTCTATGAAAGGTCTCTCAAATTATAATACATTATTTAATGCTTCCGTATCAGAATACTGAAATAAAATATTTACAACTTATCATCATTACAAAAATAACTGAATATATAGGAATATACAACATTAACAGCCTCAAAATTTCCGATTGAGAACAAGAAATAAAAATAAGTAATAAATAATCTACACGAGATTTTACTGAGGAACGCGTCATCGTATGTTTTTTTTCCATTTTCTTTGACAAAGGCTCAACAAATAGGGCATTGCCGATTTTGTAATTTAATTTTCTAATGAAAAATGCCATAATATACCATAAGTTACATTTAAGAGTTGCATAAGTTGCCATCACTTAATCGAAATTGAAGCAAAAGTGGCAAAATTGGTGGCACATGTAGAAGGGGCACACAAAGTTACCTAGATCGTCAAAATTTCAATTACATTGGATGACGCGTTCCAAAAATATCATCTGGGTAAAACGTCGTGGGACACCCTGTATATCAAGAATTTATTTAGGAAAAGACAATCTGCAATAGAATTGGAGATTTGATTTAATATAGCTGTGGTAGTCACTATTTGAGCTACATTGTTGCACATTATTTCCTAACTTAACTTTTAAATGTACAGGGTATTTGATTATATTTGGACCCATACCTACAGCCTTTACTATTTAAGATAGAAAAAAATTTAAAATGCAAAACTTGACAGGTTTTTTCTATATTTTCTTTTACCGTTATCAGAAAAAACAAAATCGCATCGGAAAATGGAGAAACGTAGGCAACTTCGACTTTTTTAATGGAACACCCTTTATATTATGCCATAAAATGAAAGATCTTTTCTTCCTGATTCCAAATATATATAAGGTCTATCTATCTATCTATTCAGCCTTCTTCAGTCCATTTTTGGACGTAGGCCTCCCCCAGTCTTCTCCATTCCTCTCTGTCTGTTGCCATGTTCATCCACCTGGTTCCAGCGTACTTCTTCAGGTCAGCATACCTCATCTGGGGTCTTCCTCTACTTCTTGTATTTTCCCAAGGTCTCCAGCATAAGATACATTTATTCCATCGGTCGTCTTTTTGTCTGATATTGTGACCTGCGAATTTCCATTTTAGTTTTGCTATCTCCTTTCTAACGTCTCTTACTCTCGTTTTATTTCTTATACACTCGTTCCTCTTTCTATCTATCAGTTTCACATGTAACATTTGTCTTTCCATTGATCTTTGTGCTTTTGTTATTTTATCCATGTTTGACTTTGTAAGTGTCCTCCATGTTTGGGATCCATAAGTGAGAACGAGAAGTATACATTGATAAAAAAAACTTTGGTTTTGAGGTATTGTGGATATTTTCTATTTTTCGAGATGTAGCTCAATTTGCCGAATGCTGCCCAAGCTAATCTAACTCGTCTCTTGATTTCTGCTGTTTGGTTTTCTTTGTTGAGTTTAATAATCTGTCCTAGATATATACAGGGTGTCCCACAATCAGCGTTACAGGCCATAACTTTCTTATTTTCAAAAATAAAAATTTGAAACAAAAAAATTATTAATGGCTAATTAAGCTCTCTTCAAAAATATAAAAAAATCATCCCCTATTTACAACCCTTGACTTTTTTTTTTCAAATGGCACCCCTATTATTTTTTTTTTGAGAAGCTTATGAAATTACAAATTTGTATGGTGTATAAAAAGTTTGTTTTTCCATGTCTCTTGGGGGAAAAAAAAATGGGTGTCCCACCCTTAGTCTTATACAGGCAATCACATTTTTGTCTACAAAAATAAAAATATGACAAAGAAAAATTAATTGTGTGCAAATTAACCCCTTTTCAAAAATATTAAAAAAATCTTCCCTAACAAACTCATCCCCTAAAAACAACTCTTGCCTTTTTTTTCAAATAGAACCCCATTTTTATTATTTTCATTTTCGAATTTTTTTTCCAAGGAAACATGGAAAAACAAACTTTTCATACATCATTGAATTTGCAATTTCATGAACTTCTCACAAATAAAAAAATAAATTAGGGGTGCCATTTGAAAAAAAAAAGTAAAGGGTTGTAAATAGGGGATGATTTTGTCAGGGGAAGATTTTTTTATATTTTTGAAGAGAGCTTAACTAACCATTGGTCATTTTTTTTTTCAAATTTTTATTTCTAAAAATAAGAAAGTTATGGCCTGTAACGCTGATTGTGGGACACCCTGTATATTCGTCGACTTGATCTATTTTTTCCTGTCCTATTCTGATTGTGATGTCATCGTCTGTGTTCGTTATTGTTTCAGTTTTAGCGTAGTTCATATTGAGCCCTATGTTTTTAGCTGCTGTGTCAAGTTCTTCCAGCATTTCCGTCAGTTCTTCGTTCTTATCAGTTATTAGGGCAATATCATCCGCGTATCTTGAGTTGCTCAAGTGTTGTCCGCATATTTTTATACCTTTTTCTTCCCAGTCTGGTTTTTTAAAAATTTCTTCCAGGGCCTGGTTGAAAAGTTTGGGTGATATTGTGTCGCCCTGTCTGACACCTCTTCCTATGGGTATTGGTTTTGTTCCCTCAGGGATTTTAATAGTTGTTGTTGCTTCGCTATATATGTTGGTTATTAGGTCTGTGTATCTGTAGTCTATTCTGCTATTAATTAATGCGCTCTTCACTGCCCAGTGTTCAACACTATCAAAAGCCTTTTCGAAGTCGATAAATGCAATATATAGTGGGATGTGATATTCGTTGGCTCGTTCTATTAGGATTTTCATGGTTAATAGGTGGCCGCTTGTACTGAAACCCTTTCTGAAGCCGGCCTGCTCTTTCGATTGATAACCATCGAATTTTATTGTTAGCCTGGTGATGAGAATTTTTGTGAAGGGCTTATAAATTACATTAAGGAGTGTTTTAGGTCGAGAGTTTTTCAAGTCTGTTCGATCGCCTTTCTTATGAAGGATGATTGTTATGGATTCATTCCAGTTGTTTGAGATTTTCTTTTCTTTCAGTATTTTATTTAGGAGGGTATGAAGAGTATTGATAACCGTTTTTCCAACGTATTTTAGCATTTCTGCCGTGACTCCGTCTTTTCCAGGTGCTTTGCTGTTTTTCATTTCTTTCAGAGCCCTCTTTATTTCCGATTTGCCTATTTCGGGTTGTAGTTCTGAGTTAACATTCTTTATTTTAGTTTGTAGTTGTTTTACGGTTTCTTGCGGTGCACAGTGTGAAATTTTGGCCTTCTAGGTGGAATTAATTCAATTTCCCAACTTTATCACAGGCTTATATATTTTATTAAATTATTTCAGTAATGTCCATTAACCAATTGAAAACATTTTTTTTATTTTTAAATTTAACATTATCATTTAAAAATGCGCCGTACCTTATCTGCCGGACAAGACGGTAAGAATATGCACAATATTTAGTCTATTTTTTTAAATTTTGCAGGCTTTGTATTTAGAAGTGTTAAGTTTGGCCGAAAATCTGCATGCATAATAGCTTTCTTTAACACTTGCACCGTAAGTTATCTTTTTTAAAAAATATCCCTGCAAGATAGTTCAGCTGCGGTTAGGTGCGTTTTATCTATATACAGGGTGTTCATTTTAAAACTTACTACTCCTATTATCTCGGAGTTCGAAAATTTTCGAAAAAATCCCTGCAACACGTCAACTATAATTTGAAAGGAGATGAATTTTTATGCAAAATTCACCTCCCCCCTTTCAACCCCCAAGCCCTCAGAGCTACTTCCTAGGAAATCCTAAATGGAAAGGGGGGCAAAATTATTTTGGTGCATGTTCAATCTTGTTCCATCAAAATCTCCTATATACGGACAAAAAAAACTCATATTTCATTAAAAAAGCCGCTAATACTATATTGTTGTATTAGGAGTAGAAGCTTTAATTTTTTGTGCTGAAGCGGTAGGTTTGCGAGCCGAACGTAGTGAGGCTTGTAATACCGCTGAAGCACAAAAAAGTGCTTCTACTCCGTATGCAACACGCTATTTTTTCTCCAAACGAATGGGGTAAGCTCGGGGGCAAGTGAATGGTTGAGCGGCAGTAAAAGTACGAGCGGCACTAAAAGTACTTCTACTGCCGCTCCAGCGGCACTAAAAGTACTTTTGCTGCCGCTGGGGTTGCCAAGCAGCATAGAAATTAAATTTCTACCACCTCGACAGGTGCTAACCCGCTGGATTTGACTAGCAGCATAGAAATCAAATTTCTGACATCTTGACAGGAGTTAACAAAGTGACGTTTTTCTGACGTTTGGAGAAAATAGTATATTGTTGTATTAGGAGTAGAAGCTTTACTTTTTTGTGCTGAAGCAGTAGGTTTGCGAGCCGAACGTAGTGAGGCTTGCAATGCTGCTGAAGCACAAAAAAGTGCTTCTACTCCGTATGCAACACGCTATTTTTTCTCCAAACAAATGGGGTAAGCTCGGGGTAACTGAATGGTTAAGCGGCAGTAAAAGTACGAGCGGCACTAAAAGTACTTTTGCTGCCG